TAGATAATAGAGTTTAAAATGTGTGCATTTTTGAAAGATCAGATCTAATGTTTCATTTGGTATAGATAACTACCAATAACAAACCTCCCTCTACTAATGCAGATCTACAATTTCTAGTGTTGGAGAGTTTACAAGAGTACTGAGATATTAAGTGGTTTGCTTAGTGTCATACAACCAAATAGCCTAGCCTACGTAGGCTGAATCCAAGTCCTGACTGATGCCTGCTTTTTATCAACTATGAGGGCTGTTCCTCTGAGAGCACTAAAGAAGCATAAAATCCTATTTGAGGTCAAGGTGGTTTGGAGTGGGTTAGGTTATTTCGGGAAGGGGTTGAAGGGAAAATTCAGGAAGATATAAGGGAATAACGATCATTTAACCTGGGTAGAAGCTTGAGAGGTAAAGAAGAGGAGGAAGGAGAGCCTACTTGATCACTAGGTCAAATTCACATCTGGATTTCTTCAACATGTAGGGTTTGTTTTAGTCCACTAAATAAGTCAGAAAAATAATGTGAATGTTTCAAATGTATTTTTATTGATTCTATATGGGGCAAAACCCAAACAAAACAAAAAAATATGTTTTAGGTTGCCCACAATCCAAAGCATTTGCATTTTTATATGCAAAGAAAACTGTTTGCTTTGTCACCCTGGAACCAAAGGAAATACAATTTAGGAAAACCTACTTCTATAATTAAGATGTAGTTTTCCCACTTTCAACATATGTGCAATATACTATCTTCAGTCTATGTGTTATATAAACAAAACACTCAGAGGAAGACCTCTTTCTCCTAAGGCACTTACATCATATTCCTCATTTTGACCTAATATCTCCTGGGAGTTAATTCAGTTGTTTAGAACTCTGTGCTAATATACCAAAGTCCAATGTAGCTTTAATGTCCCTATGGGCCATTATGACTTGTAGTGTTACTTGCTATAGTTTATCCTGACAGAGAAAGGTTGCAAAGAGATAGTGAAGGCACTGTGAGAAGGTAGGAGAGTAGCAGTTGAAAATCTTTGTAAATTAGTTAATTTAGAAGGAAAAATAAGCTGTTTTTCTAGGATAACTGCTTAAACCTAACAGAAGACAAGCTTTGATAAAAAACAGAACACTAAAAGTTATTGAATACTACTCCCTGAAGATATGAACCTGATATAACCCAATAGTATAAAAAGATAACAAGATAGTAAGGATCACAAATACATCCTATCCTTAAGGAAAATCACAGGGTGTCCAAATTGCAAATTCTAACAGCTGAGACTCCAAAGTTCAACAAATGCTTAAAGAAATGAAAACAGTGAAGAGAATATCAACTAACATGATTGATGGGACAGAGGAGCTAATGTTTGAGGACAAACTTGACAACATAACTTCTTTCTGGAAAAAAATGAAAATTTTTGTATGAAGGATATACAATCGTTGAAGGCTATAGATGAGGGACACATGGACTTTTCACACAAATTCAGGTATACTAGGCTTAAGGGAGTATCCCTTCATGGTTTACAAAGGTAAATCTAGAACAATTTTTTACCCAGTTTGCAGCAAACTTAAACCTAGACAGCTTAAAATAGAAATAAGTTTAAGAAGAGATTACTAATTTTAACAGAAGGTAGATTAATGTTAGAATGCTAAGGAAATTTAGTATATTTTGGAGGATTTGTGATTTACTAGGCAAGTAATTTAACCTCTGTCTGTCTCAGTTTCCTCATCTGCAAATTGGGGAAAATAATAGTACCTACCTCCCAGAAGCATTGTGAGAATCAAATGAGATAATAATTGTAAAGGGCTTAGCATAATTCCTTACACATGGTAGGTGGTATAAAAATGTTAGGTACAATGATGACTATGACAACGATGACGATGATGATGATGATGATGATGATGATGATGACATGTCTAATCTTTTAAGATAGTCTCAGTAATTAATAATCTTGCCCTCTAATAAAATTATTCTTAGTACAATTCCTTTATTTCCTCATAGTACTTTGCCTGGTTCTCTCCTGTGCAATAATTTCATTATCCTTTTGTATCATAATTATTTGTTTAGGTGTCCCCAAACCCCACTTGTTTGTAATTTCCTTGATATAAAGGACTGTATTATATCTATTTTATCATCCCTAGCATATAGCATAGAACCTTTTACAGAGTAGGTGTTCAATAAATTTTTGTTGAGTTTAAGTGAAGCAAATATTTATAGAATAATATAAACATACAGTATAGAATTGAGTAACTAGACCAGTACAACACTTCTTATATATTCTTATGGTCATAGATTACATATCTGGCTCTTACCAACTATTTCCCAGATGTGTGATGTTAGTCATCAAAGCAGTGAATAGGAGAATAAAAGTGTTACTTATTTAGTTTCTCTTTTAAAAGACATAAATTCTGACATACTATAGGAAAGGAAACATTTATATAGCACCTGCTATGTGCCAGGCACTGTATTAAACACTTAAAAATATTATCTCATTTGATCCTCACAAGAATCCTGGAAGGTAGGATACCCCTGAGAGGTAAGTGCTATTATTGTCCCCATTTTACAGATAAGGAAACTGGGGCAGAGAGAGGTTAAGTGACTTGCCCAGTGTCTCAAAGCTAGTAAAGATTTGAAATCATGTCTTTCTGACTCAAAAGCCAATGCTGTATTCACTGTACCACCTAGCTGTCCCTCTCTGAATTTGCCAGATTCCCCATTCTAAATTGTAAGCACCAGGAAGGCAGGTATTATGGTTTATCTTTATATATCCTACATTCCTAGTCCAGTGCCTTATCTGCATCAAGAACTAAGTGAATATGTATTGATTTTAATCGCATGGGATTTAATGGTTCTTCACAGAGCTATTTTTGTTCATGTTAGAAAATAATTCTCAGGACATGCTCTATTTATAGAAGTTATTAACCTAGAACTTCATTTGCAAATGGCAGAATATATATATATATATATATATATATATATATATATATATAAACATTGCCTAATAGTTTTCCCCAGGGCTTAGAACATAAATGACAAACTCACTTTATAAAAATGGAAAATGGAGCAACTTTGAACTCAGCATCTTAACTCTTTTCCATATGTTATTACATCTCACTTATGATAAAATAAATAGCTTTAGCACTTTTATATTATGAGCAAACTCCCCCCTTTATTTTCTTTTATCTAAAATCATTGAGTACTGAAGGATGTGATTTTAGAAAGTTTCCATTTTTTTCCCTAAGAATATATACTGTAATACTTGAATACTTGAAGACACTGAGGGCTCTGTCAATATGTGGGAATTCACTCCACCAAGAAAGATCTCAGTTTCTCTAGGCTTTTAATAAGTTGCAGTGGTCACCTTTGCAAGGACAAGAATCCATAGTCAAATTAAATCCCTCTTGACACTCATAACTTGGAGGGGTGTTACCTTCAAGGGCTTAATATAAATTGCTTTTGTTAAAAATCTCACAAATAAAGGTTCCTTTCTAGAAACTTGTACAAATTTATGTTTTTTTCTATATTTCTTGTATTCAAGTACTTGTAGTATTTTGATAAAACAGCATTTAGTACACTCCTGAGTTATCAATGTAGTACAGATTCATAGCATAAAATTGTACACAGGCCTAACTCCCTGCCTTTCATTGTCGAAATACAGAACAATATGAAGAATGGCTCTTTAAGATATATAACAGATCAAATTTATATAATGTGAATAAAATCATATGAGGGGAAATAAAATGCTGGGCCTTTTTCTAATACAAATTCAATGATATAAAAATCTCTATATTTAAACACATTTTAGCCCCAACATATAAATAGAAGTGCATAAATTATTTTATCCACAGAGGGAAATGCCGAGTTTCATTTATTAGATTCACAGGGACCTTGGAAAACCACCCAGTTCTTATTTTCGTTTTCAAAGTTAATCACATTTAAACAAATAAAGAGAGAGAGAAAAAATCCTATTTTAAAAGTCCCTTTATATGAAGGATGTTCCATATTGCATATCAAACATGCTTTCTCCATCTGTAGGACTCAAATTGAAGTGTTGATATCTTGAATTGAGTGAATGAATTCAGATTCAACTAGATAACTTTCCCTTTCCACCTCCCTTTACTCTATCTTTCATATTCTAAGTAGCATCTTAGAAAAAAAAACCCCAAACCATGAAAAGTAATGAATTAGACTCATACTTTCTAAATAATAAATTTCCCAAATAAGATAAACATGTATAGTACTAGAAAAGTTTTGAGAAAGAACCAAATTGAGAAGACACATGATTTCTAAGTATTCTCAATGGGAAAGATAGTCACAAAAATGTAAATTTCTATCATGGCTATGTGAACGAGAAGAAGGAAAAACAAAGTGTTCATCTTCCATTTAAAAATTTTCTACCTTAGCATGAGGTGCTTCAGTTTCAAATTAAAAGGTGCTGTGAAACAAAGTGTAAGAGAGATTGGTGAGGGTGTGGGAGGCAGAGGAAGGAAGAAGAATGATACTGATTACTATGAATGTTTCTAATTTAAAATAAGGTTCATGGGGCTCTAACTAAAAAAGCAAATGAATAGAATTATTTTAGGGGTGACATTATAACCCTTTGAATATTTTATCCTATTTTTAAAAATGCAAATAGTTTGGAAAGATTTGTAAAATGGTTTAATTTATCCTCATATGATCTTAGAATTGATAAAAGTAAAAAAAAATCAGAAATTTTCTGCAGGTTAAAAAAGAAAATATTATAATTTGCAATCCTAATGCTTTAGTTTACATTTCCAGATTGCCATATGGAAGCAGAAAGAGTTAATTTGTACACTGCATCACGGAGAGCAAATATATTCAAGGCTAGTGAGGAACCTTGTACAATTTTTTTTTCGCTTTGTTCTGAAATATCTGAATACAACTTAGATGTAAAATAGCCAAACATTATTTTAGGCTTTCTTATGTCTCCAATCCCATCCCTGAGCAATGCAAACATCATGGTAGTAAGACATTTCCAGGATATTTTCTAGAGTAATACATTTACCCAGGACCCACGGTAATATCATCCACTCGACGATGGTTGGTGGTGGCCCCTGCCTGTTCAAGTCTGACCTGTCAATATGTTGAGAGGCAAGTAGCAGCAGGAACAAAAATGTCAAATAGGATGCAGTGTGGCAGATAAACTTGATAAATGGTTTCCTGATGAAGAGTCCAAGGGGGCTTTTGGGGGCTATCAGGTAGCATACAGAGAAGACAGGGAAAAGAAGTCCTATGATGACGCATGTCAACATCTTCACTGCCCAGTGTCTTCTCCTCCAGCCTGGGAACTCATCATACCAGCGAGATGCAAGGAGCTGCTGACAGTTCGGTTGGGCAACAAACTGAAACAAGAGAGGAAGAGAGAGAGGGAGAGAAAGAGGGGAAAGAAAAGTAAAGTCGGTATCACACCAAAAAACTTTTATCTCATCACTTAGATCATTGACCAGGCTCATAAGTCAAGAGGCCCTTTGCAGCTTAAAATGCTTTATCACTCATTGTGGCAAATGGTTGCTTTCAATTCAGTTGTTTTCAATTCAGATGAATGATTATCTACTTGCACAAAGTGCTGTACTTGGCACTGGGGATAAAAAGACAAAAACAAAAACCAAACAAAAAATACCTTGTCCTCAAGGAACTTATATTCTTCTGTCATAGATGAAGTTGAGAGCAACATAAAGAGGTATCAAACATGGTGCCTACTCTCAGAAGGCTTATAATCCAATTGGGAAAATAGGACTTCCATATAGGTAAAGATGATGAGCAATATTTGATAGCAAATGATTTGGGCTGGACCAAGCACTTCAACTCTGATCTATGGTCCTGTGCTCCTAATTGAATATTTAACTGCAACTAGGTCATGCCTAGGCTTATCACAAAGCATTCTAATCATCATCTTGTCATGACAGACATGGTGCATATGCCCTTCTATTCTGGAAATAGAAATCCAATTGAGACTCTCAGTTCTAGAAACATACGTCGATTAATTGCTCTGTAACTCCACTCACCAGTTTCTCCATCACTAGACTAAAATACTTCTTCCTGGCTACCATATCTCTATATGTGTTTTATTTTATTTTATTTTATTTTTTCCTATTAGAATGTCCTTGGAGACAGAGGCTTTCTTGCTTTTTGTATTTGTATCCTCAGTGCTTGACACAGTACCTAACAGTAATAATTTAATAAATGACTTTTCATTCATTCATTCATTCATTCATTCATTCATTCATTCATTCATTCA